TGGGAGCCAATGGCCAAGGCAATTTTAAGACTCCTCAGAAATGCCTGTTACAGGCTCCAGCACTGGCCTTGCCCCCAGAGAAAGCTCTTCAGCTTTCTGCATCTGAAAACCAGGGAGGGGGCTGAGGGTATTGGCTCAGATGGCAGGCACACAATACCAGCCAGTGGGGTTTCAGTAATGAATTAGATACAATGGCCAAGAGATGGCCTCATTGCAGTGCCTGCCACTCTCCTACCTGAGACACTCAAACTGGGTGCTTATCTCCTACTCATCCGGTATACCCCACATACTCTTTCAACACTTCTGGGGCCCCAGGTGCAGGCATGGAGGCAAGACTCACGGCTGCTCAGAGATCAGGCTCTCTTTTTAGAAAACCCAGAAGTGACTGTCAAAGCCTGTGTACCCTTTAACCCTGCTACCTTGTTCCCCTGGTGCCTCAAGGGTATGACTGCCTAGAGTTTTGGATGGTGACTGCTGCTTAGCCAGACTGGGATTGCAGACTTCCATCCTGGAGGTGGCTGATCTGACTTTGTTTATTGATGGTCAGTGCATGTTGGCCATGCAGTGGTGTCTTCATCTAAGCTTATAGATTGGGCTCTTCTCCCACAATGGGATAGTACCAAAAGGCAGAAATTGTGGCTTTTACCCATGCTTAAAAAAAAATTAATATAATTCTTTATTTTGTTCATTTTTCCATTTCAGTTTAAACTCCATGGCTTCCCACCACTAGTTCACCTGTGTGCCATCACCATGGTCCTGTGCACCTTTTCCACCCCTTTAAAAAAATAATATAGTAGTGTATTTTTACATCATTTTGTGCATATTTCTTTCTCAGTTGTAATCTCCATGGGCTTGCCATCACCAAATGACCCGTGTGCCATCAGCATAGTCCAGTGCATTTCTCTACCCCCACTGTTTTTGATTCCATTCCCCACTCCATCCCTATAAAATATCTCTGGTATATAGCTGTTCATTATTATTATTATTTTCTTGCCTGGTCCATTATACACTTGCTATGAGTGAAACCAGCCCGTATTTTTCCTTTTCTTTCTGGCTTATTTCACTAAGCATGATCTTTTCCAGTTCCATCCATGCTGCTGCAAAAGGCATGCATTTATATTTTTG